ACCACCCAACCACCCAACCACCCACCACCCACCACCCACCACCCAACAAATCAACCAATCCTCAAACGCACTCACCCAAACATAATACCCAAATGTACGACCCTCCCAAACCACCCAACCAACCACCACAGCCACCCAACCATCCACTCTAGTCGCCCAACCAACCGCCAGCCCCAACCGACCACTCAACCACCCCATCTTTTGGAGCCCGCCCATCCAACCACCCAACCAACCAACCGACCCTCCTAACCCCCCATCCACCCAACCACCCACCTAACCGAGCAACGAACCACCCACCCACCCAACCACCCAACCACCCAACCAACCAACTCACCAACCCATCAAACCACCAAACCGTCCACCTAACCACCCAACCAACTAAGCAACCAGCCACACAACCACCCATCCATCCGCTCAACCACCCAACCAACCACCTAACCCAACCGCCCAACCACCCTACCACCCAACTAACCAACCAACGTACTACTGTTCGTAATTATTGTTATTATGTTTGTTTTTGCGCAGCCTCGAGACTCGACTCATTGTGTCCGTCGCTTATCGTACGCATTGTGTTGCCGTCATCTTTCGCAGTGCCGTCGGCCAGCCATTGAGACTGTTCATAATTGTCAGGTTCACTTATTCAACCTTGTGACACAACATGGCTGACGTAGTTGTTGTTGTGAAAGAGGCTGTGGATGGAAAGGAAATCGTCGTAGAGAGACAGTGTTTGAGCGCGATACTGAAAACGAAAGAGACTTTGAACACTGGGAAGGGGTTGTCGCCACGAAAACACGTGTGTACTACGCGTTCATCGATGACACCCTCGCTTTGAGGGTCGTGGCGGGGCTGGGGTACGACGACCTTGATTGCCTTGATGAGGTTGTAATGCATGCAAAAAAACTTTCGGATGTTGTTCCCGACGCCTTTGAACCCCCCGACTTAGATGTAATTGGTCATTTACTAAGGTGCATCGTGTCAGTCGTTGTAGTCGAGCATGTGGAAAGGTTAGCACGCAACGCATGGTATTTCTCCAAACTAGACCGGCCACTGCAACGTCGTAGTTTTCTCCACGGAGATGTGCGCAGCGTGATGTCAAAGGACGGTTGCAGACAACAGTGTGAAAGTGTTAACGAACCATCATCCTGCTCGTCTCATGCGTAGTCTGAAACAGGTGGGTTGAGGAACAAAATCGTAAAGGTTTTCAACATTTGACAGCGTTCAAGATCGCGACTACCCACTCATCCCATATATATGTATACAGGGCGATCCCCCTCCCCGTACGGTACATGCAGAATATCATGTTCGCGTAATTCGTTACTCGATCATTGGATTCATAACTTACGGTCTTGGTTTCTGTGAATTGCAGCACTTTTCAGACGCCGTACGTAAGAAGCGACGATGCATTGCGCGCCAATGATTTTCCAATGTTACCACACCACAAAACTGACAGGCGGCGACACCGTATACTATAACGAATCAATGACTCCCGTAACAGATCCTGTCGACGATGCAGTGGGATACCGCAATGAAGACAAGAAGATGGTTCGTCATTTCGTTGTCAGCGTCGAGGAGGAACGAGTCGTCAGACTCACTATAGAGACTTATATTCGTGACCACGCCATCGAACACGTTCGTGTCCTAATGTCTAAGCCGACCACGTACTTCAGCACCTTTGTTATCAAACCAGTCGACGGTGATTTGATGTATGATATCGTCTTTCCCCTTGTGCATCGCATGCTATACACACTACGGGACGGTCGCTCGGGAGGGCGTCTGGCGCCTGGTCGTGTCACCGCCCTATTTTGTCTCTGATGGCGAGGATTTCTTTGCCATGTGTTTATCCTTGCAGTGCGATCCAACGATGAGTACCATTCATTTTTTTTTTTTCTATGTTTCTTTGTTGCTGGAGAGAGACAAAATGATGGTTTCAAATATTGAACATTTTGTGTATACATATGCAATCGTCATCTCCCATGTGTTTGTTATATGTTTTGAGTTTTGTTTATTCACCTGTTTTGCGTTGTGAAATTTGTTTTCGTTTTCGTTATGTGGAGGTTCAGTACTAAGGTCATCGCTGCCCGTATTGTTGTGCTTTATAGATTTCTAAAAATTAACATATAAGCGACAGAACAACATTCACCCATTCCCATACATGGACCGCCGACGACGCACGGCTGGCGTGCGGGCCGACGCAGTCGTGTTTGAAAATGGGACAAATACAGATCCTTTCCAAGACGAGGAGTTAACAGTCGCCGAGATTAGGAGTCATTGGACGGGACCCGCAACGCTTTTGGAGGAGGCTGTGACTTTTGCTGGGCTGGACGAGCATCTGCAATAGTGCATGAATCTGCTTATTGGTCGTGCAAATCTCGAACCAAAACAGAATTATAACAATGGATATGTCGTTTTTTCTCGGCTGTGCGGGTTTATCGTTTTCCGACAGAGATTGCCAGATGAGTTCCAAACGTCAATGCAGGAACGATGGCCAGATACAATCATTCGAGGTTTTGAACTACGACAATGTGATTCTCCTGAAAATGCGCGCTCACGTCGACGTGCATGGCGGTAAATGCTTCATGACACGAGAGATAGATAGATAGATAGATAGATAGATAGATAGATAGATAGATAGATAGATAGATAGATAGATAGATAGATAGATAGAGAGAGAGAGAGAGA